CTTAGGTTATACCTAGTATTTAATCTATTATATTAGTTCTTAGTTTAATTATAAGATTCTAAAGTTTATGTAAGAGTAGAGTAAATATTTACTATATATATCTCCTTATAAATCTACTAAGTTAACTCTTTATTTATCTTTTTACTCTTATATAAATATAATATCTTTTTAGATTTTATTATAGATTCTAGTATTTACTTCTTAAAATAGAATAAAATAAAATATTAATATATATAATATAAGAAGGTAAGAGTTCTTATTAAGTACTATATCCTTATATAAAAGATAGAAATATAAAACTCTAGGATCTAAGAACTATTATATAATATATTACTAGAGTTAGCTATTATTAGGTAAAGTAATTACCTAGTCTAGATTACTAGCTATATAAGTATAATATTTATCCTTCTAAAGGAATATATATACCTTTATAAATATAGAGAACTTATTAACATAACTAAGATTACTAAAGAGATATTTTAACTAAAACTAAAGATAATAGTATAGATAGGGGAGTACTTATTAGTTTTAGAAATAAAGATAAAGTTATAAGTAATAGGGCTATAGAATAATAAGAGTAGGAAATTCCTTATATAGTTAGCACTAATAGAGGAATAGATAGAGGTCCTAAAATCCTAGGAAATAAAGAGTGCTAAGGGGAGGCTATAAGTAATAGTAGAGTAAGAGATAAGGAGCTAGGAGATAAAGAGGTGGGAAAAGAACAGCTAGAAGATCTAAATAAACTACTTCATAAGTAGGGTATTAGTATATTAAACCCTAATTAGAAAATAATAACTTTTATTAAATAATAGTACTAGAGCTTAATATAATATAACTTATAAATATTAGTTATATCTTTAATAAAGACTCCTATATTCTAAAAAGATCGAACTTAGTAGCTTTATAAAGCTTATTAAGGTCTCTATACTAAGTATTTATTAAGTTTAAGAAATACTTTAAAATAAGAATAGATAGAGTCCCTAGTAGTATAAGCACTATATTGCTAAGTATATAGTATTTACTAGGGATTATATATACCTTAAATAATATTTATATTATAGGAAACCTTAATAGACTTTACCTAAATAAACCTAGTTATATTATCTAATAATCCTAAGATTAAAGGCGATATATAAGGATTAGGAGCTTAGTAAGATATTAGTAACCTATTACTATAAGTAAACTATTTAGAGTCTAGAGGGATAGATTAGTAATATTTTCTATAGAGATCTATATAGATTATATTATAGATGTAAGAAAGGGTTATTTTAAAGACAAGTAAATATCTATTTAAGTTAATATTAAACTAATAAGAATATACACCTATAGATATTATATTATAAATAATAGTAGACTGTTCTAATATCTTATTTAAAGGCTAATCTTATATAATACTAGTAATTCTTAAGAACCTAAACTTATTACTATACTTCTAATATACCTATAAATATATATTACTTACCTGTTTAATCCTAGGGCCTAAAAAACTAAAACTTATTAATTTATTCCTCTTTCTACTAGTTCAAGAACTTCTATAGCTTAATTAAAGGATACTAGATTATAAGAATAAACTATAATTAAAGTTTACTCTAAGAGCTTAGTATATTCTTATTAGTATAAATAGAAAGGCTTATAAGGAGTTATTAGGAATAAAAGAGCTAGGAAATATCTTATAAGTATGTAGTATTTATATAAAGTCTAGGATATAAAGTAAAATAAATAGGTATTATTATATTCCTTATATATATAATAAGATTTATAACCCTAAGATATAAATTAATACTACAAGTAAAATAACTAAGTAAGATAAATATAGTAAAGATAAAGAAATTAGAAAGGCTATAGGATTTATATATATATCTATCTTATATAAACTATAAGGTCTTTACTAGACTTATAGCTTTCCTACTAACTCTATATATATATTTTTATATAATATTAGAATAATATTATATAGGATATAGGAGGGTTATATTAGTAAGAATAAGAAACATTAAGGTAAAGAAATAAGTAAGAAGAGTAGTATCCCTAGTAAGTTTTAGAGGCTAAATCTAAATAGTAGAGTAAGTATAGAAGGGGGTAGTAAAAGAGGTCTTATTATAAATAATTCCTTCTCTTATATAATATCTAAGGCCTAGTAAAAAGTAAGTAGTAATATATAAAGAGTATTCTAACTAAGTATAGTAACTAATTAATAAGTATTATTCTAATTATAAGGCTAAGAAGTAGGAAACTTTTCTAGTAAAAGATAGAGTTATACTTCTTTTAAAGATAAAGGTATTTTAGCTATACTTATTATATTTTATAATATTATAATAGATATATACTTTAGTTACCTCTTATATTATCTCTTATGGGAAGGTTAATAAGCTCTAGAACCTATATAGAGAGTAGCTTAAGATTTATAAGAAGTCATATTATAAGGGGGATCTAAACAAAATAAAGTAGTATATAATTAATAATTATTTAATACTATATTTAGGTAATATTAAGATTCTAAGTTTAATAAGTAATAAGCTAATATTTTTTATAGTAGATTAGGTATAAGATCTAGGTATAGTATTTATTATTTGTACTCTTCTAATAGAAAGGTATATTAGTAAGATAAAGACCCTTATAGTATAGACTACTTTAATAAATATTATACTTACTAATAGTCTAGAACTTTAGGCTTACCTCTATATATTACCTTTCGCTAAAGAGTTATTTTCTAAGAAAGAACCTTCTAGTCCTAATAATAAATACTCTATTCTAGATATATAATATATAAAAGGTTTAACTTTAAATATAATAGAATTAGTATAGTTATTATATTAGAAAGAGATTAATAATAATAGATAGAGCCTTATTCTAGATAAGAATATTATTATATTTAAAAAGATTTATTTATAGTAGAAGTAGTTTATAGGAAGTAAGTATTCTTAGTATAAACTTAGTAATAACTAAGATAATAGTTAGGTTATATAGTCTTATTAAGGTAAGAGTAAAAATAAGTCTTATTAGGGTAAAGATAATAGTAAGGAAGATAAGGTATAAATTAACTAAGTCCTTAATTATTTTATTATTTCTAAGAGAGAGGGTTATACTAGAGATAAGCTAATTTAGGCCTTTATTTAATAATATAAGACTTAATATAAATATAATTTATAAATATTTATTTATAATAGTAGATTTCTAGGATATATAAAGATTATTAATATATTAAAAATCCTATATATTATAGAGAGACTAGGGCTTTAGAGGATAATAAAACTATAGTTTATTTTATTACTAGTAGATAAGATATTATTAGTAATAAGTTATCTCTACTAATAAATATTCTATTAGATAAGGAATAGTAGGTTAGGTTATAAGTAACTATCTTCTACCTAAATACGGCTAATAATAAGTAGATATACCTTCTAATTAGACTTAATCTTAGTAGAATAAAGGAGTAGTAAATAAGAGCTAATAAAAATCTAATTTTAATATAATAAAGGAGTAATAAATAAAGAAGTAGTAGATAAAAAAGTAGTAAATAAAGAAATAAAAAGGGTAATTTCTAGTGAGCTTCTAGCTAACTAGATCATAGATTTAAGAGTTATATTATAGCTCTTTCTCTTATACTTATAATTCTTAAAGATTATAGATTTATACTCTATTATAGTTATTCTTTATTTTATAAGTACTAAATAGATCTTATTTAGTAGGAGGACAACTATTACTTATTAGGCTAATTAGGCTAACTAGGCTAACTAGGCGCTTTCTTTCTATAATAAAAAGAACTATAGTATTTTTTATTTTTTATAAATTATATTTACTATTAATTATATACTTATTATTAAAGTAAGTAATATATATTTATTTAATATATATAAGAAAAGAAAGAGGGTTCTATATTTTAATACTTTAAAAATTCCTAGTATTTTTAGAGTATACTTTATAGAATTAGGCTTAGGGAAGCCTAGGAATACCTAAGAATATTTAAGACCTTAGTATTATTTCTTAGAGTAGTTTAGCCTAATAGTAATATAATTATATTATATAAGAGAGTATTTTCGTAAAAGGGGGTTTTGGTAAGAGAAAGGGGATAGTACTATCTCTAGGATAGGGAGTAGTTTTTTAATCTATATTTAAGTATATAAATAGTTAAATTATAGATTTTTAAGTATTTTATATATTTTAATTATTAATCGGAGTAAATTAAAGGAGTTTTTTTTTAGTAGTACTCTTATATAAAAGTACCTAATTTCGGTATTTTTTAGCTATTTTATATAGGAATTAGGTGCTCCTATAGTATGGCCGGGCGTAAAGCCGGGGCACCTAAATCAGGATTTTAGGGGTACCTAGTTCAGGTGCCCCGCTCCTACCAGGGTTATAGTCCTTACGGACGTAAAGAAAGTGGATAGCTAAGAGTCACATCCTGGTAGTAATACGGCTTGGGCCCAATTTCCAGTACAATCAACAAATCAGAGACTCCCGATCTGTAAATATATAACTTTTTACATATGATCTACGAAAATGGTGAAGCTCTTCGCCGTCCACCTTCTTTAAGGTTGGTTGCCTGAATGAATGGTTGCCCAAATGGCGCACTGACTATTATACCACTGAACCTTGGAGCAGTTATCCAATCAATTAAACCCACCAATTTGAAAGAAAAACTGCTTTCCAATTGTCCAACATCCAATAATCAGATAGAAGCGATGGTGGAAAAGAATGCAAGCTCCTAGTGGACAAGAAAAGTGGCAGAGATTCATTTTTTGATTATTAGCGTAAGTTAATTCTAAGTACTAAAATGTTTTAAATATTTGGAAAATTGCCTTTATTGTCCTATCCTTCTAGATGAATTGTGTTTATTAGTCTAAACAAATAATATAATAGAATAACTTTTAGTCAAGTTAGGCTAAGATAAAAGAAGTCTCTACTACTTTTCATGTCCACTGGGAGGCAAGGTCATCGTTGGTGTTGACGCCACAAACATGCTTACACCGTGCCACTTAACATTATGTACCAGCCACTCCCTTTATCATATCGTAAATTCCACCCTCAACAAACAAAATCATCAAAATCAACAAACACAAACAAGTATGTCCGCAAAACCAGACCCCAAACTCCCTGTGAAAGAGAGTAAATTCATTCGCGCAATATGGGCTCTTCCCCTTCTCCTCAATACCTATGGTGCCTCTCAAACGATGGGCGTTCTCGTCCAAGATCTCGCCCCTGCCCTTCTTGCCCAAGTAAAAGCCGCGACAATTGACTTTGGTGATGGTACTGAGACCGTAGGACTAGTGAAGAAATTCTTTGGCGTGGCTGGGTTGGATGGATTTCTCTCGGTTCTTGTCACGTTTTTCACGCCTCTTTTGGACGGTGGACATGATAGACTGGGGTCGTTGCAGGCGACTGCCTTCCTAGGTGATTTGATTCCGTTACAGGCTATTATGTACGTGGAAGGGGTAAGGAGAGGTAACAGGATGACTGCTACTAGTTTGTTGTAAGTTCTCGTCAAATGGAAAATGGGTTTACTCCGTAGGCTAATGAGGCTAGACCCACGCTCTTTGGTATTGCGTACCAGGCGAAGGGAGTGGGATATGTTTTGCCAATATACTTCTTCCTACATCATATTCAATTGCCATTGGAAAACTACCAGAAGCCCGAAGATCGACTCACCCGAGTCAGTGCTGTCAAGACGATAATTCCAACTCTTGCTCTGACATTTATCCTCCCTACATACATCATGCTAAGTACCCCTGGTTTGGCGAATCGACAATGGATCAATGGTCTCTTTTGGCAATTGTTCCCATTATATGGCGCCATCTGTCAACAAGTTCTTGGTTTGTTTGTCAAGGATACGACGGAGAAAGATCGAGTTTCAAACCCAGAAGCAGACATGCCATACCTTCGTCTCACTTATGGCTTCACAGCCATAATAGCTGCGGCTCTAAATCTCTATGTTCGTCTCGCTTCTCCTTTTCCGCTCAAGGATGTGTTTTTCAACGATATTTCAAGTCCGTCTGCAGCAGCGACTTTAATCACCGGAACTGCTAGATTTTTGAGATACGATCAGATCTTCTCTTTTGGAGCCGGCATCCTTTGGATCTTATTGAGTTTCAAAGATCTGAAGAAAGCTGGCAAGACTCAAGCTGGATGGGTCAAGATTATTGGCGCTTTCGCGGGAGCGACTCTTGCTTTTGGCCCCGGTTCTGCAATGGTTGGAATGTGGGCCTGGAGGGAGGAAATATTGGTCAATAGAAAAAGTGCCTTGAAGAAACAGTAAGCCAATGTAAGTAACTCTTGAGATCGCCATCCTGGGAGTCCTGGGACTCTGGGCGATGATTGGAAGAGCGCACTTGGGGCTTGAAAAACGAGTTTCTCATCTCTTCTTGAATGATTACAAGGGGTTTTTTGACTCGCATTTTGGATATTGCGCATGGTTGAATATCAATCTACGGGCGCCTCAGATGGCACTGATAATATTACAAGTAAAGGTGTTTTCAAAAGTGTAGCTCATACCTAAATGCATGTTTCTTGTCTTTCGGATTGCTAGATATAAGCTAGCTCTGCAGCATACTTTCGACTTCGTGTTCTTTTCATACTCTTCATATCTTACGGGGTATGCTAAGCCTTCAGAGATAGCTAGCATGTTTGGTTTTGGAACTTCTTTATCACTTCATCTTTGAAGCTTGCGAAAAGCGAAGCAAAAAGCAGCAAAACATGATTCGCTTCCTTGGATGTTTTGATTTTCTTTATAATTTTATAAATGTTCCACTCGAATTAAAATTAAAGCTTTGATCGGATATACGAGTACTTGATGTATACTACTGGTGGCAGGATGCATGTCCCGTGGTTGGACTACAGGTAATAGTCAGTGCATTTTACCCGCAAGCGACAGATTACTCGTACTCGAGTAGGTGCCAGTGGTGTTGAGGCTTACTAATCAAGTCCCACTACCTGGCCACCACGCTAAATCACGTTACTTTCGGCACACTGAATCTGTATCAATTGCGCATATCCTCGAACTTCGCAAAATTTGGGACCTTGACGACCTTTCGACAAACAACCTCCAAATAAATCATCATGGCGCCAGCAGTCGCAAAGAAGCAAAAGAAGAAGTGGTCCAAGGGAAAGGGTAAGATTGAAATCCGCGCGAACTGCGCTGCACACCATCTCCATCACCATCTTTGAAGAACCTCAATCTGATATCCAATACCAGTCAAGGACAAGGCCCAGCACGCTGTCATTCTCGATAAGGCTACTTCAGACAAACTCCACAAAGATGTTCAATCATACCGTCTCGTCACAGTCGCCGTCCTCGTCGATAGACTAAAGATCAACGGATCGCTCGCACGAAGATGTTTAGTGGATTTGGAGGAGAAGGGAATCATCAAGAAGGTTGTTTCGCACAGCAAATTGAGCATTTACAGTATGTATTTCTATCCATCAGAAAAATGCGCGATCTTTTGGAATAGTCTATTGATATATTTAATACAGCTCGTGCGGTCGCTGCTGCGGAATAAAGGAATCAATACCTGTTTTTGAAAGAACGATGTCACGGCGAAACCTCCCTTCGACATTGACCAGGTGGTCGACACGGTAGATGAGGGATATGGGGCTGGGCATATGCAACGGGCATGGGACTTTTTTTTTCGGTGTAGCAACAAAATCGAATTGCTTCTGAAATCCAAACTATGTCTTTCCGTGTGACGGCGGAATATGAACCGCCCATAGTGTGGGCTCTGACACCGTGATATTTATGCAGGGTGAGACTTTGATATGAGATCCAATCGACTATGCGGTTGGGGTGGAGATATGGGCTTTCTGATACGCGAGTACATTGGTGGCGAGTTTGCGACTTGAGGTTATGGAATTATGCAGTTTGACCCGACTTGCACAATAATACAAGAGCCCATATCAAGGCAATCCTACGATCTCTTCTCCCAGTATGCTTGGTTGATTGAAGGTCTCAAGCTTCTGCGACCAAGTGAAGTCTCGTCAATATGTGCATAACTGGTATCGAGAGCGGCTCCACAATTAGAGGAACCCGTTCCCTCAAATGACCATTGGTGGACCACTGCGAGTAGACATGCCACAAATACGAGCACTTTGCCCATCTCTTGGAAGTCTTTAAGGTTGGCTTACCGAGAACTAGTCTTTGGGAGGTTCTTGTACACGTTTATTTGACCCAATTGTACTTGTGCCATACTGTGTTCACACAAGGCTATTCCCTCTCCTGTACGGAGTAAGCACCTTCCAATAAAACCGAGGCTAAAGTAATAATTCTCATAAAACGTCCAGTTTACCCCTCATTCCCTTCAACTTCTCTTTTGAATTCCTTCTTCAAGATTTTAAAAATGGCAAACGATTCCGAAGTCCGACAACGCAAGCCGGCGACAACGGAATCCGGTGCTGGGAAACCCGTCCCCCAATCCGTCATCAAGAAGGAGGACAGCGTCTCGACCCTCGACATCTTCCGCGCACTCTTCTTCCTCGTCCTAGCTTCGTGCGCACTTTCGTACTTTGTCACAAGGGAGAGCTTCGTGTGGAATGTTGCGCGACCAAAATGGACGCGGGTTGAAGCTATACAGGCATTTCTGGTCAGTACGGTTCCTCTTCTGCTATTGGCAGATTGGCAGACGGGCTGTATATTGATGGGACGAAAGACTGATTGAACAATGCAGGCAGGACCAAAACAATACACCGACGAGGATCTGAAAGCCTATGATGGAAGTAATCCCGAACTACCTATTTTACTCGCGATCAATGGCACGATTTACGACGTTTCCGAGGGAAGAAGATTCTATGGACCTGGAGGGAGTTATAAGTTCTTCTCGGGCGTAGATGCTTCGAGGGGATTCGTACGTCTCCCACCTCTTCCTCCGTATGGATGTAAAAGCTAACGGAAAGCAAAACAGGTAACAGGCTGTTTCGATATCGACCGAACCCCCGATATGCGAGGCGTCGAGATGATGTATACTCCCAAGGACAACCCCGAGATCGATAGTCTGTACACCAGCGGGGAGTTGAAAAATCTGAAGGCGCAGGAGAAGAGAAAGGCAAAGGTTGAGGTTGAGAAGGCTTTGAAGCATTGGTTGGTTTCCCGTTCTTACTTTGCTTCGGTGGATGATAGGAATGCTAACTGGACGCAGGGTTGATTTCTTTGGCAATTCAAAGAAGTACACTAAGATCGGTACTGTGAAGAGGGAGGAGGGGTGGGAAACTAAGGGTCCGGCACCTACTTTGTGCAAGAAGGCTGAGGAGGGAAGACCGACTGCGAGGGCTAGACCTGCTGGGAAGTAGAGATGAAATGGTGTGTTTGGGGTTGTATCTTTGGTAAGCGTGTATACTAGCATACTAATCTGAAGGGCTTGCTTTCTATCACTTTCTTCATGCCCCTGGGGAGTTGTGGCTTGACTATTGCTTGCTGTCACCGAACCCGAAGTTGAGAGAGGGGGGGGCTACCCTATTTTTGGGGATTGCTTTATTTTAATGCGTTCTGTTCTCATCTGCTTTATATACCCTAAGCGCTCCTTGTAGAAATTGTGGTACATAGAGAAGTCTCCCTCCCGTTTTCATTTATATGCACCAACTTGGTTGTGTCGTTCAGTACTCGAGTATTCATTATACCATTACCTAAGTAGGTAGTGTTATATAAGCACCCTCTTTCCTGTTTCCAATCTCTCATAAGGAGATTCCATTACTCCAAGAGACCTAGCTCGCGGTGGACAAGAAAAGTGGCAGAGATTAATTTTTTTAACTATTAGCGTAAGTTAATTCTAGGTACTAAAATATTTAAAATATCTAGAACAATTGCCCTTGTTGTACTATCGTTTTCGATAAATCATTTTATTTGTTCTAAATAGATAATATAATATAGTAGTTTTTAGTTAAGTTAGGATAAGATAAAAGAGATCTCTGCTACTTTTCTTGTCTACCGGGTGTAACGAATACTCAAACTGGCTAACTAAACTTGGCTGGGTGTTCGCTGGTTGGTATGCTATGATAAGAAGAAGA